TAGGCCCTGAACTTCAGGCTTTTGGCCTGAACCGACAGGGGGCCTGTAAGCCCTGGATTTCAGGCTTTCGGCCTGAAGTTCAGGCTTTTAGCCTGGACGGACGCGGGCCTACAAAATGGCCGTTGGGCCTGCAAAATGGCCCGTGTGTGCACGCGCTGCATGTAACACGACCTCTTCCCAGAGCATTGGGAAAGACATAGGAGCACATGCAGCCGGAAGTATTTGGTAGAGACTATGGAGAACTGTAATGCCCCCTCCTGATCAGCAACCTGTGAATGCCCCCTCCTGATCAGCAACCTGTGGAATGCCCCCTCCTGATCAGCAACNAATGCCCCCTCCTGATCAGCAACCTGTGAATGCCCCCTCCTGATCAGCAACCTGTGGAATGCCCCCTCCTGATCAGCAACATTTTGATGCCAGTGCACGTACAATGCCTGCTTACAATCACAACCTCTATACTGTTTATGGCTTTGCAGACATTGTTGGCTGGATAGAAGCAGAGCTCTTTAATGTCTGGCTGGAAGGTGTGTTGCAGCTGGCATGAATATGGAAGTGCTATCAGTGGTATTCATGGCTAGGCAACTTCAGCTCTAGACATGCCCCACAGAATCACAAGCGTGACGTGGATTCAGGTGCACCCTTTGTTACAGACCACTTCACTGCCCTAACCTTCGCTGACCATTCATGGGCTCTGTGATGACAGAAGGGCCCACACGCCGAGTCACATTACTCATTGCTGTCATGTTTGCCAGAACAGTCTGTCGTTTTGGGACCACACCTTGGAGGAGGTGAAGCTCTGTCCTCCACAGTAATCAATTTAGCGGATCCTCATCCCTCCCTGCGTCCAATTGAGCTGCTGCATCTGCCTGTGAAGATCTGCAGACTCTGCCAGCAAGGACAATGAGCTTTATTAAGAAAGTGGAATACAGCGCTGCTGGATCGTGCAAAGTGTTGAGGAGGTGATTTTGGATCTCAAGCAGAGTGCACATTGCCTTCTAGGCTCTATGCCACACACGACGGATTTTACTAGTACTAACCTGGCACATGACAGGATCCTTGACAATGTCCTAAATGTTGTTTGTGAAGCACATGATTATGCCTTGCCACTGATTCCACATGACAGGAGGCCAGTACAAATGTTCATGATAGTAGGAGGTCCCCATCGTGGGGAGTGGGTAACTTCACATTGCTTGGACACCCTTTCAGTGTCAAATATCAAACAGCATCTGCGCATTGTCGTCCCTAACGCTTGTCTTTACACAATGGATGACACTCTGCACCACCAAGTGGTAAGTATCCCTGTGGGCACTAATGTCGGACCAGAAATTGCCAATCTCACACACGATTGGGATGAAGCACAATTCATCGATGAGCTTCGTGAACGAGATCTACGCGCAGCGCAAGCATATGCATTGACATATTGGTTCATGGATGACATCCTATCTTGGAAGATATCTCCGCCCCCTCCTACTTGGTATGGTCTTGAGTGGAAAGGCATTACTGAGCAAGATGGGTGGGCAAGAATCTTGGTGGGCTCATGAGACAGCCGGCCAGGTTCGGGCATATTTGTAACAATACCACCTACTTCAAAGCTGCAGTGACCTCCTTAACACGATGTACGCTTGTTAGGACCAACCTCCCAATGTCCTGGCCAGAGGTGGGACTGCATGTGTGTGGCCGGCAGCATTGGCTCCCAGCTTACGCACTGGTTTCACCACATGGTGTGCCAGTCAATTGCTCACCCACTGCCGAATGCTAATTCTGCGCACAGGCAGCATCAGTCCGCCACACACCCCCATGCAGTGGGCTGCCACCCACTCCCAAACACCTATTCTGAATATAGGCAGCATCAGCTCTCCATACAGCCGCATGGAGTGGGCCCGCGCTCCCGTGTTATTCCTACCGGAATGGCGGCTGCTAATGTGGATACTGCAATTCGGCTGGAAGCCAGGGCAGGTGCAGTAAACAACATAAATATATTTGAAGTGGCCGGAGGGGATTGAAGTGGCTGCAGGGGATATGGTGGTTTGTATGCTATCAATGAGGCTGCAGCTGAAAGTGTGCCTCTGCCACCACCACCACCACCTACATATTCTACTAGATCATCCCCTTCGTCAACTGCCTCTTCTTCCTCCTCCTCCTCCTCCCATGCCTCCCCCTTCGCCACCGTCCTCATCATCAACACATTTGTGGTCCGATCAGCCGTCACGGAGGTCTCATCGGAGGAGGCATTCATGGTCTGATCGGCCATCACAGAGGCCTCTACATTCCCCATCTCCACCACCACCACCACCACCATCATCACCACCATCACACCAGCTCCTTTACCTACATATTCTACTACATCATCCCCTTTGTCAACTGCCTCTTCTTCCTCTTTTTCCTCTTCTTCCTCCTCCTCCTCCTCCTCACATGCCTCCCCCTTCGTCATCGTCCTCATTATCAACACATTCCTGGTCCGATCAGCCGTTACAGAGGTCTCATCGGTGGACGCATTCGTGGTCTGATCGGCAGTCGCAAGGCCTCTTCAGCGGAGACATTCCCCATCTCCGTCGTCGCCTCCTAGACAGTGGCCTTGTTTGTACATGAATGACATGATCATCGTGCCCCCGGTAGGGGTCGGAGATCTACTGCGATGCCATGCTGACAACTGACAGAACAATGTCGTCATTCCCAATGCACACTACCCAGGAATAGTACATACCTAGCCTAGATGCCCACAATTTGGCGATGAGTGCTGCAGGCATGGATGTGCACCAGACAGAAGGTGCGTCATTTGCACGACTAGGAGCCTCTGTGAGTACAAGTGTGGCTGATCAGCTTCTGCTTCTTGCATCTTACCAAACCACTTCTGATCCACCTTACCCCAATTGCTCCCCACTGCAACTGACAATGATCCACGCTCTGCTCATTCAATGGAGAACCCTACTGGAGATGCTCTCTCCTCGGAATGCATGCTAGAGCCAATGGAGTTAAACCACCACTACCTTTCTCAGTATTGGGGGAAAACAGGAATATACGTCACACTGCATTGTGAGGAGGTCCCGAGGAGGCTTGGCAGGGAAGAAGAAAAAAAGAAAACATTGGGACCCTGCGGGCCCACTGCGAGGAAAAAAAAAAAAAAAAAAAAACCGAAGAACTTCGATTCCAGCGACGTCGGTTAAGGTCCTCACGGAGGTGGAAGTCGCACCAGTGCTTTGAGGAATGTATCTGGCCAGTATGTGTGTGCTGTTGTCTTTGTTTTTTTCTGTCTTCTGCCCGTATGATTTTGGTGCCCTGTCAGCGAGGCAGGGCGTATTCCATGCGGGGCCCCAACTGCCTCACTCACGACGTACTGACAGTGGTACTGTGGCGTCCTGTACCGGACTGCGAAGACAGCGTAAGGGATGTTTTTTTTTCTTTTTCCGTTCTTGGTGCAAGGAATATGAGCAAGAGCGATAGACAAAAATCCAAATTGCAAAATCACACTGTAGTTCATATAGTCATGTACCAAGCAGAGAGCACAATGCACCAAGATACCATCCAAATAAGAGCAATACAATGAATTCAAATGTCAATGCCAACGCTCTCTGGCCACACCAACATAGTATCCAATGTCGCTCCTACTGATTGGCGCCCAGCACCCAGCCTACACTATTCAGCCTATCTAACCTACCTACGTTCATGCAACAAATCACATCGACGTTGAAGACCAATGTACGTGATGTCATCACCAATGCAGACTGCCAGCATACATCAGGTACGTGTCTCTCTCTTCCCCTCATCAGACCCTGTCTCCCCCACTGCATGCGGCTCCTACCCAAAGATCACCATCGCCATCACCTGCCACTGCACGCGCAGCCGTGCTATGGCCGCCATGCCCCTGCTGCCATCGCAGTGCCCGTGTGCGCCCCAGCCTGCCAGCGTTAAACAGCGCTCACGGGACACAGCGTGGCCAGAATGCCTGAGGCTGGGGCAGGCACTTTCCTTTATGGAAAGTGCGCCCTGCTTTGGCCTCTGCTTGGGCTGATGAGCTGGGGCCCAGTAGCTTTGTGTTGGGCCAAAGTGTCTGCGTCCTGGGCCTTTCCGATAGTTACAAGGGCCTGCACCATCCAGTGCGCCCGCCGTCCAGGCTCCAAGTGTTTCTTGCGATCTCATTGGCTTGCGGCATGTGTGTGACCATGGTGCTGCTTTCTCATTGGTCCGTGGCCACTACGTGAATTATCGACCGCTGAATGCCTGTGCCCAGGGCCTCAACTGAATGAGCCCTGGGCTCAACTGTACAGCGCAGCTGCTGCTTCTGGAAGGAGCCAAGAAGGCTCACGTTGTTCTGTAAAAACCAACTGGCGTGCTACCCGACATACGAAAAATGTTCAAAATAGGCCTCAAGTGGATATTCAGCCCCGCCTTCACTTCCGGCGGGCAAGAGGCTTGCTGGGGGCCTGAGCCCAGAACGTTTGTATGACCGAGAAGGGCCTTTGCGGGAGCTCAGTCCTCGCATTCCATCCCCCCTTGGCTTCGAGGGTCTGCTGCGATGCTTCTATGCAGGTGCTTTCTCCTTCAACTTTCGTTCACACTCTGCCACGATCTGAGGTGTTGTTCTGACAAGCTCCTCTCTTGTGAACCAACGATCTTCTTTTGGATTTGTATGATGCCTGAATCTGACCCGGTACTCCCTCATAGGTTTTCCCCTGCCCACAAGCATTGGAACAGGCAGGTCTCTATGTTCCAAGATGTCGTCGACGTCCACGTGGCTATCCATGGTTGGGGCCAACATTGATCTCCTTGAAGGTAACTGATCACTCTCAGCGAAAGGTGCAAGCCTGGAAGCATGAAATATAGGGTAAGTGCGCAAATGACCAGGGTTTCTTGTCGCGTACGAGGGACCATCCAAATCACTACTCACAATATCTAGAACTTCCCAGATACCGAATTCCTGACCCAATTCACTAGCCTTTACCCAGACACGTTCTGCTACCAAAAATGTGGACTGTCGTCTGTGCATGTTCTCAGAGGCGATCATTGCCTCTTGAGATTTTCTAATGTGCTCGACAACTTGTTGTAACTTCTTATACTGGACACCAAACTCTATGGTTCCAGAAGTTGCAGCTGGTCGTTTTTCAGGAAGGAGGAAGTCTGTTGCAGATCTAGGCTTCCATCCCAAATGCAGCTCATTCGAACAGACGTCTGTGGTGCTATGAACAGCGTTGTTGTACAGACTAGCGATGAGAGACGATTTCTCATCCTGTCATCTTGGCTGGGCTTAATATAGTGCCTCAGCATATGCTGCACCACGCGGTTCATCTGCTCTACTTGGCCGTTGGCTTCAGGATGATTCCCCAAAGTCATTTGAAGTTGGCTGCCCATTTGCTCAACAACCTTCTTCCACATTTCACTTGTGAATCAAACATCTCTGCCACTAACTATAGACTTGGCCAGTCCAAAGTCACGCACCCTGTTATTCATGAATAACTTGATGACGTGTTCAGTCCTCGCAGTCTCTGGCATGGCAATTAGTCTGGCGTACCTAGTAAACCTGTCTACTACGACGAAGATGTGCCGCTTGCCACTCTTGCTGGTGATAAGGGTATCCATGAAATCCATGGAGACACTGTCCCGGACCTGCAGGAATGGGCAAGGGCTTGAGTAACCCAAGCGGTGCTTGAGTTCACAGTTTATCCCGCTGACAGACTCGACAAGTCTGGACTTACTTCTCTGAATCGTCAAGCATACCAGGCCACCAGAATCGCTGCACTAAGTTACCACTAGTCTTCTTATAGTGTCCTGTCGCATCATGATACTCTCCTAAAAATAAACCACCAAAAATCTCGCTGATGGCACACACAGTCTTTTAAACCCTGCCTTTCCAAGAAAGAGTAACCCATCCACCATCACAAACTCATCAGATGTAGCCTTGTCCTTGGTCTCTAGTTTGTGTATGATGTCCATCATGACGGGATCTTCCTTGTAGGCATCCACCAAAGATCGAGATACATCATCAGATAAGCTTACTTTAGTAATTAGCGCACCTAGGTAGTCTGCCCTACGCGGGAGTGCATCAACAACCTTGTTGTACTCCCCTTCACATAGTCTAGCTTGAAGTCATATTGATCTATGACCTCTATACATCGTTTAAGTGCGTCAGAGAGAACAGGCTGCGTCTTGCTCCACTTGAGTGTCTGATGGTCAGTTCTCAAGTAGAAGAACCTTCCCAACAGATAGTGTCTCCGGTGGACAAGGGCCTTGTAAAGGGCATAGACTTCCCTTTCCTAGGTGGATTTTGCCAACTTCTTTGATGGCATCTTCTTACTCACATACTCGATCGGCCTCAACTTCTTCCCTTCCTGCTGAGCCAACACTGCGCCTATGCCATATTGGCTTGCGTCAGTGGTCACAAAATGGCTTCTCGGGGTCAGGGAGCATGAGAATCTCGTGATGTGTCAAAGCATACTTCAATGGCTTGAAGGCTCCCTCACAATTCTCACATTCATCCGTCCATTCCCATGGTGTGTCAAGGCGTGTTAGATCAGTCAAAGGGGCGGCCACTGTACTATAATCCTGACAAAATTGTGGGAGTAGCCGGTCATTCCTAAGAAAGATCTGACCTTTGTCACAGACTGCGGTCGTGGCCAGTCACGAATGCTAGCCACCTTCGTATCTTCGGGCCTAACGGTATTTGCGGATACCACATGACCCAAGTACAAGATTTTAGTGCGCTCGAACGACCATTTCTACTGATTGATCTTATACTTGGGCTGTCTAAGGAGGCCTAGCACAAAATCTAAGTATTGCGCATGCTCCCCGACAGTCTTACTAAAGATAAGAATATCGTCGAGGTACACGACAATAAATTTATCTAAGTAGTCATTGAATATCTTGTTCATGGCGTGTGGAATGTACCCAGTGCATTGCGAAGCCCAAAAGGCATCACGACAAACTCGAACAGACCGTACCTGGTCTGAAATGTAGTTTTGTGCTGATGCTCTGGTCTAATGGCAATCTGGTAGTAGTCGGACTTAAGGTCTATCTTGGTGAAGTACCTACATCCCTGCACTCTATCTAGTAGGTCGTCGATGCGGGGTAGAGGCTCTGCATTTTTCACAGTGATGATATTGAGGCCTCTATAATCAATGTAAATCCTCAACGATCCCCCCTTCTTTGGAACGAAGGGGGAAGTGCTAGGCTGTATCCAACTCGTCTCTATGAGCTCTTTTAGCTGCCGACGAAGCTCATCCAACTGGAGCCACCCCATAGATCCTCCCCTTTGGCGTCTTACTTCCTGGGATGATTTCAATGTTGTGGACAACTTCCCTGTCTACGACTCCTGAAGGCTCCTCAACCAAATCAGGGTACTTAGCGACGACAACTTCGATCTTTAACGACCTCCCCTTTTTCAAAGACGAAGACCAAGTACATACCCTCCTCTTGGTTTTGTTTATAATAGTTATAAAACGCTGATGCGCACATTCAACCATAGGAGTCAATCAACCTGGTACCCTTATACTTAACTAGTCTAACGGTCCTCCCTTCTG